GTTGCAAAATTAATTTAGAATGAGTATAATCGTATTCGTGAGATACTGCAAGCATTGGACCACTAGATAAATCTCGGTATTACAAAAATTTATCTTAACGTGAGAAGTGAATTTTTCAAAATCCCCGACAATGCGACCGTCTTTACTTTTCTGTTTCGACATACTAATAAGTCGTTCACACCTTGAAACGCTGTAATACATAATGACTTGAAGTTGTCATCACAGCTACCTGAAAAGTGTGTACTAATTAATGTTAATTATTAATGGAATGACCCTCAATTAAAAATAAAAAAGCAGGACGTAGATTTCTAAACTGAAAAATAATCAGTTTATTACAATTAATTATGACGGTACCCACATGAGGAAACAATCTATTGGCCAATAGAAACTAGTAATGAAAAATATATTTTATTCTCTCACGTATTTTTATTTGATTTTGAGATACTAAACAAATTCAATTAAATTCAAAAAATTTTCAAAAGTGTTACTTTTGTACCGAGCAAAGGTAGGTATATGCGAGGCGAAGCATAGCGTAGCGGGGCGGAGGCAAAATTGCCAAGCAAAAGACACTTTTAATCGGAATAAAACATGCTATTTTTTCTCCAATCGGAATCCCCCATTTAATTATTAATAATAAAGCAAAGTAGGTAAGTAGGATATATCGATGTAGTCTTCGTCATAGTCAAACATTATTCGCCATATTGCTAATTGAGTTCATTTGTCATTGCTTAAAACTCTGTAAAAATGGAATCTAATGAAGATTTAGGTGTACCTGAGAAGATACTGGAGTGTGTGAGAGGTTTCTTTGAATCTTCTCCCAAAGAAATCTCGAGAAACTTTATGAATGTTTCTACTAACGTTTTATGGATTGATGCAAAGAAAAAAACATTAAGTTGTGTTAAATTAAACTAAGTTAGATCCTGTTTATATAAATGTATTAACTTGCTGGGCTAAAAAGATTCATCTTATCAAAGAATCTAGGCGCTTTTTTCTAATGAACATAATTATATTATTGATGTATTAAATTAAATATTTTCCAATGATAACTTTCATACGAAACTTTCTATATTCTATTATAACAGAATGCCAAATCACAACAAATAGCAAAATTGATAACACTGAACACTTACGGTATCTTTGTTAAAAGCATAAATATCAAGGATTACATGTTTTAAAAAGAGTTTCAATTCTCCTGTGTTAATAGTTAATTTTATGGAATCCAATCCGTAATCCATCGTCATTAGTAAATTGCATCACTTACATATTACCCCATTACGAAAAACTAAATAATAATTTTATTTTATAGGTAATAAAACATAAATATTAATTTTATTGTTTTGATATGGTCTTTCTAAATATTGGATGACGAATGAATATTACAAACTTATTACGACTGTGTACTTGTTTCCCTATCTAGATACGCCAAAACAACTAAAATAAATATAATAAATCAATTCTGTCAATCACAATAAGAAAACCATGTCCAATCCATATTTAATATTTCATCTACTTTAGCAACAGGATATATGTTATGAAATGATAGTGGTTTTGTTTACTGTGCAAATTAAAGAAACTTTATAATATTGCGACGTCTACGTACTCCTGGTATCCAACAAGATTACTGCGGTAACACTCGTCACAGTTGTGACAATATAGACTGACAACTGTGAGACTTTGCACACTACGCCTGTAAATGGTATGCAATCTCCGAGATGTTTATATTGAAATTCGAAAATATGGTGCAGCTCGAAACACGTGATGTGGTTATTTTGAGACATGTATTCGTGTCAAGGATTTTACCTATTTAAAAAATTATTCTGTAGTAGCAAACTCGGTTTCAACCTTGGTCTCTATTTTGTCGCGCTCAATGTTGGTCTTGCATTGACACCTTTGGTCTTAATCTCTAAGAGCAAATTCAGTTCTGCTGTACCGGAACCGATTTAATACGTGGATAAGGAAATTCAGTGTTAACGAAGAAATCATTGAAAATTCACAGACAGTATAAAAGAAGTCGCGGAGAAAATGGAAATAAACCTATTTTAAGGTACATTTTGGATTTGGAATACTGAAAAACATATTTTCAAATATTCTGTGACTTTATTACGGATTCCAAATCTATTAATAAATGAGCGAAAAGACAGTTTAATGAAGCTCAGTCTACAGGGTGTTAATTTTAACAGACGATAGAATACATTAAAATAAACAAAAAAAACTTTATATGACATGGGTCCTAAACCCAACCATTTCCAAGAAAAAAATTATCAAAATGTCCAACTCGATGTACAAAAGTTCTATTAATTAAGGAATATTGACATAACTGCGTGCATAGAATACTATAAAATACAATATTCATCACTTTTTTGAACTTCTTTATGCTTAATTCTAAAAACTAATTAGCGTTGTAATAAATTTAAAATTCGATAAAATTCATATCAAGCGATGTGACAACGGCGCGGCGGGTAATACGAGGTACAAAGCTATCCAGCAATACGCAATTCAGTTGGTATCTGCAATTGGACTGTGTCTGAGTGTTTTTTGCGTACCACTATTGCCTTTTCTTGCGGTGTTTTCTAGCAAGTGCTAAAATTGGATTCGAAGGTGTCGTGCGTACATGTGCGTTTTTTTTTTAAGTTGAGTTCCTGTTTTAAGAGATTCATACTACAATTCGAGCTAAAATTTAAGCACAACACTATCCTCGTAGGTACTACAAAATCGATACATTTTATTTTATTTATTTAAAAACTGGAAAACAATTGTCTTGAAATTGACTAGGTAAATGTTGGACAATAGTTGTTTACATTTTTTCAGTAGGACAAGTCCGTCGCGTGCACACGCGGTGTGCATCAGCTGTGTACCGTTAGGACAAGCGCTGTTGTCACGTTGTTATGAAACTCCCCAATATTAATACTCGCTGTATTTTGAAAACTGTTAATCTTACGCCATTGTAATATACAACTTGTTTGTTCTTTTATGATTACTTTGTCTCATGCTGAAATAATGGCAAAAAATATTAGTTTCTCCCAAAAAAATTTAAAACATTTGGTCCAATTTAACTAAAATTTTGTGCTAGTACTAAGTTTACACATTTTCTAGGAATAATGTTTGCTATGGAAGAACCTTGTTTAGTTATTTCTTTTTGAGAACGTAATAATTAAAATTCTTTCGAAAATTCGTATTTTTTCTACAAAAAAAAAGAATGTGAAATGATTATTATGCAATAAGTATTAGTTCTTTGATAAACGTGTTGTTTTTAACAATGTATGCAGAAGTATTCCAAAAAATATCGTAGATATAGAAACTACGCTTTTAAAAAGGGTTTTGTAAATACCTAGCAAATGAAAGAATGTGTCGTCGCCCCATAACTAAGTTAAATGATCAACCTAACTTTCTGATCATCCGCCTTCTGCCAATTGCTTTTCTGGTTATGACTTTAGTTTGTTAAGAATATTTAAAAAACTTTATTTTATCAAAAAAAATTTGGAAACAGATCTTGAAACATTTTTTGTGAAAGCCTTATAGTTTCCAAGAAAAAAAATTATTGAAGTTATATTTTCAACCTATACATCGCTGTGCCACTGTAGTCTCTAGCGTCATCGGAATGCATTCTATCCGTGTTGTATGCTGTGCGATCTCTTTCCACGTAGCTCCAGGCGATTCCGAATACTGAAGTTCAAATTTAGTATTAACGTTTATGCGATAGTGTTTACATTAGTATTTCAAGTGTCAAAAATGACTTGCGTTTACAACTACTTCTAGTTGATAAATATTGTTTCAATTTATGGTAAAGCAAGACAACATATTTTGTGTTATGGTGAAGCATTTGTGTTATGGTGAAACAAGACATTTGTATTAGTATTATTTTATTAATTAGAACCAGAAATTATTTTCATTAATTAATAATAACAATAGCGACAAAAGCAGTTGAATTTGCTGATATAAAATAGGTGTTATAAAATTTAATTTCTTTCCTTCGGAAAGAAATTCGTTCAATTTTTGTCCGTTCATTTTTTATTACACTTTGCCGCCGTGCCGGTCGCCGACTGGCGACTGGTATAAAATAGGTGTTATAAAATTTATTATTTATTTCCTTAGGAATGCTTTGCTTTGCGCAAGGTCAGGTTTTACAGTGGACCAGTTCCCACTGCCGTGCAGAAGAGTAATCAGTATTTTAAGTCGAAGTTTATTTTTTTTTTTTTTTTACAAAATTATATTTGTCAGAGTCCCCTGTACATTCAATTTTATTTGTTTTGATAAGTTCTGAATCACTCTGTATTTAATTGCTGTAGAAAGTGTCAACGTCGATTTTTCAAAAATGACGGGTTGACAATTTTTTCCAATATCTGGAGACTTTAAAAGATGATTTCACTTTTTCACGTTCATTGGTTTATTGTTTAATATAAAATGTAGTTTTGAATTTGAAAGTAGGATATCCTTAATTTAATGATTTGTAGAATATCCTCTCACTAATACATTCAGAATCTACCTGATAGTCTAATCTGATCTAATAGTTAAAGATAGCAAGACTTTTCTCACAAAAGCATGTAACTAATGACATGATTTTGTCAAAACATTGTCGAATAAATTTGCATTACACAGGGTGCAACTAGTATACTCTGCCAAAGCTAACAACATATTCCGCGTCATAAGTTAACGAAAAAAATCCTATAAACTTGTGTCAGAAAAATGAAACGCTTGATTTTCGAGATACGGGGTGTTAAAGTTTAAAACGGCTAAAATAATTTGAATTAAAATTGATATACAGCTATAGTTTTTGCTATTTTCTCGGTATCCTAACCTAAGGAAAACTATGATATAAGAAATCATTTATTTTATGTATTTACAACATAAGAAATATTCATAATTGTATGTGGAGCACATGCTCAATATGTATATCCCACAGTCTATCACGTTATTGCATCAAGAATTACAAAATGTTCATGAAAATGTTCATATTAAAACGTACCACACACTGCTGATGAAAATATGTAAGTTATTCTTACCTTAGATATTTATCAATATGACCATTTTTATCAGAAGACTTCCTTAAACAGACGGCTTTCTTATGATATTTACATGCTCACTTTCTTCTTTTCACAACTATGTCCTACTTTCAAGATAATCCACAATATTCGGATTCGTTAAAATACCATCAATTCCAACTATTTATTTTACGCAGACACAGAATACAATACGCCACGAAATGCGATTCACAAACCCCAATTAAAAAGTTTATTCTAAACATGGAGAGTACAACTAATAACAACTTTGACCTTAGTTCAAGTTCACTTCTAAGAATGGCTTGGTCGAATACATGTGACGTGCCTACTACATACTTGTAGAATGTTAATATGGATCAAGTACAGAACGCAGACCTTGCGGAAACACCGCCCGCAGATCGCAACAGCAGAAACTGCTCGTACGGCAAACGCAGGTGACAGCCCAGGTGAAACTTCGCACAGTTTAAATGAAGAACGGGTCGAGTCGGCGAAAGTCGGAACTTTTGTTCTTAAATCAACTGAAGCCGTGGATTTCTTTTCCTACCAAAGAAATAATTAGACGGTGTCCGATTTTCAAACAGTACGCATTTGTTAGAAATTAGGAAAAACTATTTACGTGTTCCGGGCTTGAAACAGTAAAGGTGGAGATTCCACGGCTAAACCAAGTTTTACTTTATCACCAACAAGAGTGAATTCATGAAGATGAATTTTCGAAAGGTAAGTAAAATCTAACAAGCGCTTCCCAATTATAATCCGAGTCAAAAGGGCCAGCAACAGATCATCAATGAAGAACCACGCAAGCTGTGGACAAGGATATTTCATAAAATATTATATATGCGGCCGAGAGAGGAGGAAGAATTCTTCGGTGCCGCCGATTCAGGCGTTCGGATGTCAACCCGGCACTCTTACAATTTAATAACCAGGACTCTTTATAGACCGCGAAACTAATGCCAGTAACTGCGAACCTAATATTTTACTAAATTTTACTATTTTTCACTACACGTAGCAAAATATTTGCACAAGTGACCTTCTTACCACAACGAAATATACTTTGCTAAAAAGAGCTTACTTGCAATAAGTAAAAAGTTTTGGTAGAAATTTTTGTACCTCAAACGAGTCAACTCATTATCTCCAAGTGAACAGCTTAGCTACAATAAAAAAGACCTATTTCCTGTTAATGATTTAGATCTATATTTTGTTGACCTAAATACGTTTCCCAATTGCTGCTAGTGAGTTAAACAATGTATTATACAGGGTGTTTATGAAGTATGTGCACAAACTTTAATATAAACGTCTGCAAATAGATAATTTTCGAGATTCAGGGTGCTGAAATTAAAAAAAAAATCACCTTTTCTAAAATAACTCCGAAGACGTTTGATGCACAATGTCACAATGATGAAACTTATTCTAATAACTAATTTCTAACTAATTAAACTAATTAAAGATAAAATCCACTGAATTCGTATATGCCAGTGGCGGACATATCGGGAGTTACTTTCACTGAAAACTCCAGAAATTCGATGCAACATTTTCTTATTTTTATTAACGCCACAAAATGTAAAATAATTGTAGACCTACTAATTTCTCACAATTTGTTCAAGGACTTGCTAAAAATACAATTTTAATTACAAACTAATCATTAAAAGCCCGAAATAAATAAATAGCGTGAAATTTTCCATTTTATTAGAAGTAGCAAGTGGTATAGCCTGGAAAAAATATTTTATCGTATATTTAGAAAAAATCCCTATGAATTTAAAGTTGGCAGATTTAAGTGGTTGGTAGCGTTAAAAGAAATTTTTGAAAAATAATAATTCGAAAATGGTTCGTTTTTTTTTCAAATAAAAGATATATTTTTTCTTTCAACCACCATAAGAAATAGTAACAGAATTTTGAAAATATTCATTGGCATCCAATGGTTCAGTTCAAAGTACTTGTCACTCTCCAAAGCTGTGAAAAGATGGTGTGTATTTGAAAAGTAAAGTTTGCAGTAAAGTGATAGGAATACTGAAAATATATTTTAGTAGCTTTTATTAAGGCTGCTATTATGGAGATAATAGAGCAACGAACAATGCCAAGAGTGCCCCTTGATTAAAAATCCCATAACACAGATCTCAATTTGAAACAAAAAAAAATGGATTTTCACATTTGTAGGTTTTTGAATATTTTTTTAAATGACTCAACAGAGAAAGACAATCGGAAAATTTTCCACTCTTGATTTTGATTTGTTTTTGTCTCCTTAATCAAATCCCAGAAGGACCGGTGTCACTTTTGTGACAATCTATACAGGGTGTCCCGGAACTTGAAACACAAAAGTCGAGTACAAATAGATGAAGTCAAAATAATATCAGTTCTTCATATAATTTTTTTTCATACGGGCCTTCGTTAACAAGTTACGGGCCCTCAAAGGTGAAAATTAAAAAGTTATTTTTGTTTACAGTCTCTGAATTATTAATTTCAACATGATTCAAATTTGGTGATCGATAACACTCGCGTACAGCTTGTTTTTGATGTTGTAAGTGAAACTTCTTTAAGCCCAGAACGCCAGGGACGGACTATGCCCAATGGTTAACAACCCAGAATTTTTGCATAGATGACGGTCGTAATCTGCCTACATCAAAAATAAGTTCCTTGAATAATTTTCCAACGATAATACCTCTTGGTTCAACTCGGTAAAATTAGCAGTTTAGGAAATATTTGTGATTTTATGTCAGTGCAGATCGAATGGCGCCTCCGCCAATTTTTGTTTTTAATTTTTAATTGGACATAATTACTGTGTTAGAACCGTACATATTTTTGAAATAAGAACCTAGAAAATCTTACTGTCTGGTAGTGTAATTTTGACTAACAAAATTTGACAAACGCACTTTACAAACACAAAATAGAAAAACAAAACAGGAATAAGTTAAAGTTAAAAAAAAATTTAAAAGAAAGAAAACTATCTAAATACATTTTCAATATGAGCACCTTCCACCTCCACAAACATCCTAAGTCTACGAATATTAGTTGTTTGTACACGAAAAAGCATTTCTAGGGTATGTCTAATATTATCACAATGGAAATTAATTCTTTGTAGCAATTCATCCCTTGTCTGTACTGGGGCTGAATACACTAAAATTTTTTCAGGTATCCCCACAGGAAGAAGTCCATGGGGTTAAAATATGGAGAACGTGGTGGCTATGAAATTGGGCCTCCTCTCCAATCCATTTATGATTAGTAGCACTGGATAAATAATTTCGTAGGTACCTACATCAATATTGAAATGGGGAGGAACCCCATCGTGCACAAACCAAACATTTCTTCGGGTGTCTAATAGAATACCGTTTAATACCGTTTAATAGTGACTGCAAATTATTTTGCAAAAACTCCAAATATCGATATTCATTCAGACGTTCCTCAAAAAGGTATGGACATATTAAATTATTATCCAGTATTTCTGCCCTTACATTAATAGTGGGTAATAATTTAATAGGTATATACGTTTTTGAGAAACGTCTAAATGGACATCGATATTTGGAGTTGAATACTTACTTTAACTTATTCTTGTTTTTTTTTCTAATTTGTGTTACGTGTGTTTGTCAGATTTTATAAGTGAAAATTACATTAGTAGACAGTAAAATTTTCTAGGCTCTTATTTTGACAAATATGTACCGTTGTAACACAGTAATTATGGCCAATTAAAAATTAAAAACAAAAAATGGTGGAGGCGCCACTCGATCTGCACTATGATATAAAATCACAAATATTTCCTAAACTGTTAATCTACCGAGTTGAACCAAGAGGGTATTATCGTTGGCAAATTCTTCAGGGAACTTATTTTTGTTGCAGCTAGATTGCAATCATCATCTATGTAAAAATTCTGGGTTGTTAACCATTGGGCATAGTCTGTCCTTGGCGTTCTGGGTATAACGAAGTTTCACTTACAACATCAAAAACAAGTTGTACGCATGTGTTATCGATCACCAAATTTGCACCATGCTGAAGTTAACAGTTTAGAGACTGTAAACAAAAATAATTTTTTAGTTTTCACTTTTGAGGGCCCGTAACTTGTTAACGAAGGCCCGTATGAAAAAAATTTATAGGAAGAACTGATATTATTTTGACCTTATCTATTTGTACTCGACTTTTTTGTATCAAGTACCGAGACACCCTGTATATGCAACCCTTTTCCAGATCTCAATATAGGCAACCTCTAATTTTGTTTTGCAAATTTCTGTCGGAACTGTTGGTTATTATTCTACATATAAAGGAGAATTATGTAACAAGTTTTTTTTTTACATACACAAAATGGCTTTGTAGTTCGCACGTCTACATATCAACTATGATTACTAAGGTACTGTTATAAAATTACTACTTCGATCCTTGTAGCCATATAAATTATTTTTAACCATTAATAAGTACGCAGGTCCCAACTAAAGCCAATTTCCTAGTGCAATAAGTTATTTAGTTACCATTTGTGGAAGATATGCTAGAAAAAATGTACCTATTGACCGTAGAAAGCTGCCCTCTTCTTCTAGTAAAACATCGACTTGAGGTAGTAGCAAGTATACTTTTTAACGGAACCCCTTTATAGGTATTTTTACATAAACGAAACATATGGGCAAAAAATAAATATGTAATTATCTGTATAAATTATCTTGGTATTTAACAAAATAGCAGCACTATAGCTACCTAAATGGCAAGGCAATAAACAGGTTTATAAATCAGGGAACAATTATCATAATTTGTAATTTTTTTAAATAATAATAATAATACCTATAGATACATTTAGCTTGTTATGACCTAGATGTGGCTCAGATTATAGATATTATTGTTCTGAACTGTGCCCACATAGTAATGATATTTTACATAAACTATTACAGACAAACAGGACATGAAAGTTTAGAAATTTACAGAAAAATTGTCTTGAATTGAATGATATTCAGAGAAAAACTTTGAACACTCTGTAATATATCTCCTCCCATACTATTTTCTTATGAAATAGATCCAACTAGGTATACCCCTAACATTTTATCAAAAACTGGCTCATGATATAAAAGATATTGAAATTTAAATAATTGCAATGAGAAAAGATTCTTAACAGCGCGATATTAAACCCACAATAACTTTATTGTAATATAAATGCGTTCCATGAAAAATACTAAATGGACACACTAAATATTTTCCATTAGGTACATATTTTATGTACCAAAATGCTTTCTTTCTAAGGATAAAAAAGGAGTATCACTTATAAAAAAATTAAGTTATACATTAATTGACAATAACAATTTCGTTCCGATTAATTTGTTCTTGGCAGTATCTTAAATAAACAAATTATTTAGTATATTTTTCTAATCGTAAGAAAATTCGCTTTATCTCAGTTTTAATAACATTTTGCAGAT